AGGAGAGGAGGAGGAGAGGAGAGGAGAGGAGAATGCGTTGTTGGAAAGTGACGGTAAAATGTTCAGAGAGCGCGAGCTGAGATTGAGAAGGTACAAGAGATGCAGACCAAGCATGCGGAGGCACAACAAAAGCATCCGAAGCAACAAGACGGTCAGAAATGATGTCGATGACGATGATGGTGTTGATGTTGTTGATGATGATGATGATGATGATGATGTTGTTGTTGTTGTTGTTTATGATGATTGTGGTGGTGATGGTGGTAAGGTTCTTGTTCTTGTTCTTGTTCTTGTTCCTGTTCTTTTTCTTGTTCTTTTTCTTGTTTTTTCACGATGATGATTATAGAGATGAGGATGAGGAGGAGGAGAGAGGATCTAACACGTGCGATGCCAGCGACTGCCGATAACCAACCAAAGAGCAAATTGGACAGATGGGTCAAGAAAGTACAGGTGATGGGAGGAGGCGAACGAGGAAGAAACATGAAAGTTGGCAGTGGAGGCAGAGATGATTTCAGGCATGCTTGTGTGTGTGTGACGGGGATTGTGAGGGAGAGGGAGAGGGAGGGCAGCAGCAGCAGCACCACCACCACCACCACCACCACCAACAACAACAACGACAACAACAAGATAAAGCTCACGATTGTTGGTGGAATCAGGATGGAAACTCGACGAGCAATGGCGCTGATGACACGAAGGCTTCCAAGTTGGATCGATGGCTCAAGAGGTCGCAAGGAGAGCAGAATGAAGGCGCACAGGAGGAGGGGAAAGCAGTCAAGGAGGAGAAGGTGGAGAGAGAACAACTGCCCCAAATGACTGTGGTGATTTTGAGCACTTTGTTGTTGTTGCTCTTCCTGTCTTTGAAGTTTGTTTGAGCAGCAAGAAGCTCTGAAGGGCGAAGATGCTCAACAGTTTGCACAAAGGTGAAGCTGCAGAGCCTTATTTCACTGCCTTTCTCTCTCCCCTCTCCTCTCCTCTCCTCTCCTCTCCTCTCCTCTCCCCTCCTCTCCTCTTCTCCCCTCTCCTCTCCTCTCCTCTCCTCTCCTCCTCTCACCCCCGATGCAGGCAGTCCGCTTTGCTCTCAAACTGCATGGCTGATGAGCCGGCCGACCCAACCTGAGACAGCCCGGTTCAGTTACACAAGAGGTTCCTTCACTTCCAACCCTTATAGTCAAATCATGAGCACAATAGTCAATTTATTCACTGTACTGACATCTCAGTGGCCCCGCCCGCGACCGGACCTCATCGGGTCCCGGGCCCCGGGTCACACGGCACTGAGGTCACGAGGGGGAAGAGGGCTTGAGTGTAATCCCGAACTAAAACTATATAACATAAAAGTGACCAGCACTATCAGACAAGAGCCTCGTACAAAAACGAAAAAGAGTCTTTTTCGCTTCTCACTTCCAGCATATCCGAAACCACCACCCACCCCTCTACTCCCCGTACTACTATTACCCGGTCAACCCCCATCCCCCACCGTCTTTTCAGGGGAGGAGGAGGAGTACCTTGAATTCCGAGTGTCATGCACCGCCAGTCGTAACACCCCTAGGGTCATGGGGTGTAAAAGAGGGGACATGAGGGGGTGCGGGGATAGCACTTGTAGCGTGATCGATTTGAAGCCAGTCAAGAGGGGGTAGGGGGTCATCCCCTTGGTATGGGTGGTAGGGGTATGTACAAGTCGTTTTTGGCATTCCGATTTTCATTGACCACCGGTCCTAATGTTGTGAAACGAACATTCCAGAGGGGGTAAGGGGTCATCCCGGTCAGTACAGGAGGTAGGGGTGTTCCTCTTGTACAAGTTGTTTTTGGAATTCCGATTTTCATCGACCACCGGTCCTAAAGCCACTCCAATGTTCGTTCGTTCTCCAGGCCCCACCCCGGGTCCCCCTGTAGCTTCGGTCAACTCAGACAACCACCCCCTGTACCATATTTAATCACCCCACCCTTGTAGAGTCGTCAGAGGAAATATGCCGCTGGTAACCCTACCCCCTGTAACTCCCACACCCTGAACGTCAGACCTTCGGGAACCCACCCCCACCTCCATGATATCAGTTTCTTGCTTACTTTACTTCCGAAAAAAATAATTAAAATACTTTTAAAGAACCCCACCCCAGGATTCAGCTTTACCGCGGCTACCACCACGACAAGCGGAATAAAATGACCCCCACCCCTGCAATGAAACTTAGCACCCCCTATGATGCGTAGTCGAGAATATCTGCTCCTCTTGACCCTACCCTTTGATTCATCACCCACCTTTTTCCCCATTCTATGCGGATATCAACAGGGTCACTGAGGGGGGTTGTGTACCCCCTACCCCTCTTTTTACAATTACACCGAGCATACCCACCCTTTATTTTGAGGGGGTCATGAAGATTCTCACCACCCACCTCCCGAACCCTACCCCCTCAGTTTGTGACCCCATGCCACAAGGTGCTGATGCGCGGAAAGTTACACCAGCGGTAGAGGAGCGAGTTGGCGAAGGAGGGAGACTTGCGAACAAGAGACATGGAGGAAGAGAGAAACGAGGGGAGGAGAGAGGAGGAGGAGTTAAGAATGAGGAAGAAGAGGAGGAGAGGAAGGATGAATACAAAGGATCGGCGCATGATTGCATGTTGGTTGGTTGTAAGCAAGTTTGACACTTTGCCTTGCAGACCTCTTCAGATCCGCTCATTCGGCAAACTTAGGGGAACCAAGAGAGGACTGAAGCTCAGCATTGTTCGAAGCCTCCAGTGTCCATACTTGCATACTCAAACAAACTGGATCATGGTAAGGCCATCCGCGTCGGAGGAGAATCGAAACATCGCTCTGAGCTTCGCCAAGATGGTGCGCACCATTGCTTCCACCAGTTTGTCGCCTCCTCGACCCTGACTGGATGCCTGCAGATCACGACGCCGACTGAAGACATGACAGAGAAGAGCGTGGTCCTGCGATCAGGGAGCTGGTCGATCTACAGCGCGCTGTCGGAATGCTGCCCATGGACCATTCGCAATCACGACCCCGTCACGGGGCGGTGTGGGTTAACGGAGATCGAGTTCAACAAGACTCTGGAGAAGAATGGCTTCAAGAAGATCAGAGACAGGAGCTCTAGCTTCAAGTGGTTGGAGCAGATCGAGGAGGTGGACATGAAGAGTAAGCTTGCCCTGAAAGCTTTGTTCTGGTTGTCCTAACGTGTCGTTGCAGACGCCAGGTACTTCTTTGCCGGAAGACGGTGGAAGAATCCAGACATTCACTCGGAGTACCTGGAGCTGAAGGAAGGATGGGAGTCGATCCGAGCGTCCTGCCCTTACGCACACCTTCCTCTGGGGGGGAGGTGCTCCTTTCAGAACCTAGTGTCCGTTTGTCGCAAGTTTCACAACGGCTGGAACTGCATCATCCGCTGCGTTCAGCGACCGTTGAAGAGGAAAATTCCTGGTCTCCTATCAAGCTGCGGCGAGCAGGGGAAGAGAGCGCGGAAGGGATGTGGAGGCAGGCAGGGCAGGAAGGCAAGCTGTGGGAGCTTGTTCTTGCAGGACCCGCCATGTTTGCGAGCGCTGGAGCAGGGGGAGTCAAGCTCTACAGACTTGGGGGGAAGGAGCCAGGCATTGAAGGTCGAATCCTGCTTCGCTCTTGCAGACAGCTTCGTTGTCCACGAGGTGAGGAGAGATTGCGAAGTGAAGGCAGGGGTTGACGTCCGGCAGGAGGAGGAGAAGGTGGACTCTTGCCCTGCTCACCGGACGACGAGTCTGGTCACAACGTTGATGTCGGAGCCTACGAGTAGCTCTCAGAGCTTTCATGTCGACCAGGAAGATTGTTTGAGCTTGATCCGCTGCGATGCGGACGAGGATAAGGTGAATGTCTGCTTTGACAGCATCCTCCACTCGAGCCTCGCGTCCTACTTCTTGGCGGGACAGCAAGATGTAGAGAACTTTGTGGAGGAGATCGGAGAGGACCTGAAGGAGAAGAGGGGAACGATGAACATTGCTCTTGCGAGCGACGAGGCGATGCTGCCGCTAGACTCCACGTCGTTCTTGCAGAGCTGGCTATGAGGACGAGAGTTGTCACATTTTTGGTTGTACAACGTGCTCGTCTCGCCTTGTTTGCATAGCAACATAACACCAGGCCTTAAGAAACATTCATCGGGCTTCTATGACACAGAATGAATAAAATTTCCTCCTCCACTCACACATCCCCTCACTCACTCACTCACATCCCTTCCTTTCTATCCCATGCCTCCCTCCCCTCCTCTCCTCTCCTATCTCTC